CCCCCCCCCCCCCCCACCAGGCAGGGTTGTGGATGGGCTTCTCGGCTGGAACGGGGCTTTCTCTTGCAAAAAGAGAATAAAATTGCCCTAAGCTGCGTTTTCCGTGCGGTTTGTTGGAAATCAGCGTCGTTCGCTCTGCTTGTGCCACGCCAAAGAAAGGCGGTGGGAATAAGGTGGGCTCGATGCACCGCGGGGACCACGGTTCCCCCCAACCTCCCACCCCATCCCCGGCTCGGTGACAGCCGTGCACGTGGCAGAGAGAAGCCAGAGGAGCACAGCAGCACGTGGGTACGTGATGTATGGAACCACGACACACGGTTCCCTGGGTTCGGTGTAGCCGATGACACAGCTGACAGTGACATGTGGCTGTGTGCACGTTCCCTGCACGCACAGTGGGGACATCTCATTGTCACCTGAAGGATCTCCTGCTCCCAACTCCAAGGGGTGCTTCATCACCAAGTGCCATCCACGTGTCACCCAGCAGCCGTGCGGTGCAGCATCCCCAGGGGCAGCCACACCTCTTGTCCTTGTAAATTTGGACCCGGGGATGGCAGTGAGGAGCTGAGGAATCTGTCCCAAAAAAATTTACATGGGAAATGAAGTCTCCTTTTTCTGTTTGGTTAAACGTCTGCCAGCCTGCTTTAATTCATCCAGCCAGGTTGATTTGCAACTTTTAGTTTTCCATCGGTTGGCTGTGACCAGGACACTGGGAAAATTTAGCACTTGAGTTCACCCAGCTTCTGCGTTTCAAAATATCCCAGCTCGAGACATGCAGGAGGAAACCCTTTCCGTTTCGGAACAACCAGGAGGGAAAAGTCTGAACATGAGAGATTTTAACAGCATCAAAATATTTCACATTGAAAACGCCAGCTCAGCTCAGCCCAGCTCTGTGCGAGCTGCTGTGTGCCCAGGGTTTGTCCAGAGCCACTCTGTGGGTGGGACCCCAACCCGGTGGGACCCCAACCCTGCATGACCCCATCCCACTGCAGTGACAAGCAGAGCTGGGGAGCACTGGGGTGAGGGACAGCTGTCCCCATGCAGGCGCTGGAGGTGCCAGCAGCAGGCGAGACGCGCTTGGTCTCCGTGCTTCACCAAAAGTCCACCAAAGCCAAAGGACTTTACTTTTTTTTCTTTTCTTTTTTTTTTTCTTTTCTTTACGAAACAGTTGAGATGACTCAGCGGTTTCTGACGCAATCCCCGTTTCATCGGAAAATTCCTAACCAGCTCCTAGTGGCAACTGATCGCTCCCATAAATCACGCCGTGTTATCCCTGGCCGCAACAGAGCGGCTTACGCAGCCCCGGCCCCTCTGCGTGAAATCAGCAGGAGCGATGCCATCGCGTCACCGGGAGCAACACCAGCCCTGAAAGCAAAACGCGGCACAGAACAGATCCAAAGCACCACCCCAAAGCCGGGGGACGCGGTGCTGCTGCCGAGGCTGCCGGCAGGTCCGGCATTAATCATCGGCGGCCGGGCTCAGACGACAGGGTTTTTTATCTCCTGGTTTTTGGCGTGAGCGTTAGAAATGATTTGCAGATGTTATTGACTGCTTTTTGGGGCTGGAGTAAATTGAGACAAGATGCACCTGCGTGGAGGGTGAAAAGCACTCTCAACTTGGGGATGGGCGCAGTGTGCTTGCAGAGGACGTTCCCAGAAAAGTCCAGGACTGAGCCATGGGAAGATGGAGCACCAGCCCCATGTGCAGCACAGTGCATGAGGGCATCTCAGCAGGGGTGGGGCTCAAATGGTGCAGATGGCCAAATGTGCAGGAAAAGCTCCAGCTAACCCTATCCCGAACCTTAAACCTAACCCTAACCCGAACCCTGTGCTTCACTTTCCCTGAGGCCAGCTTTTCCATCCCAAATCCGTGCCTCGCACAACTCACAGTACAAATAAATGAAGCAACAGAAGCTCCAGAATGTTCTCCTGCTGGAGTGGTGACCCTGGAGCAAGGAGCGTGGAGCAGGACCTGCTTCTGGTGGACTGAGTCACATCTTGGCCACAGGATGCCTCCTGCACCACTTTTCAGGCAAAATTGTCCCTTTTCTGGCCCCAGTGCCACGTGGTGTGCTGCAGCATTGCTGTTCCCAGCCCCATTAAAACATCCAGGAGAGCCAGGCTGGAAGAGCATGGTATGGCGTGTGCTGGTCCAGAGCCCCGGCAGCTTTGGATTCACTCAAGGGTGAGACATCTCCCAGACTTTCTTCTTTTCCGACCCTCTCATTCAATAATTCTGCACAGCTACACGCAGTAAATACAGCTGTTAAGGCAGTCACAGAGTGGGGTGAGAGCTCCGCACGGCCAGGACTTTGCCAGGGGGATCAAAATGTGACAAAGCCCCAACAAATGCCCTGGCAGACAGCCCTAGCTTCTCCTCCAGAGCTGTGGCTATGGCCTACCACTGTGCAACTGAACCAAAAGGAGACCAACAGTTGTCCTTTGGAGACGCTCCCGGTCCCTTGCAGAGTGACCCTACGGCACAGTGTTAGGCAAGGCACTTTAAGCTCTGCATGCCTGCATGAAATGTGGACAACAGTGATTTATGTCGTGTTAGCATGAGGGTTTCATCTGTGGATATTTGCAATATGTTGAGTCAAACCAACAAGCCACCAAGCTGCTCTCGCCATCAGATTCCTATTAAAAATGCCTCTGGGAAGTCTGAAAGCCACAAGTGACCGCAGTGTTCCCAGGTATGGTCATAGCCATAGGGTTTTAATGCCTTTAAAACCACTTTTTTTTTTTCTTTTGCTTTAGTTCTATCTGTCCCCAGAGGACGTATGTTCCTGCAGGAACCTGGAGGAGCCTTCAGACCCATCGCACTTGGTTGGAAATTTAAGCTATGCAAAGATTAAAAGGCAAAATTACAAAGCTTTTTCTTGTAGTGGAATGTGCCTTGCATGGAGGTTGTGTGGTATTGTGTTGAGGAACACAAGCTATGCAGCACTGCCAACCACAGGCATTCAAAAGTCATGAGTCAGACTCCCCCAAATCCTAAGATTGGTTTCATTCCCTTCTGGCTTCTGAGCCTTTAAACATCACAGATTCAAACTTTTCAGAAAATGAGATTTTTGGCCAAGGGGGTCTGGAGCTGAGACCTTCCCATTGCCACTGTGCTCCAGCAGCTGCGAGTGCAACAAAACCCTTATGCCCCATGAAACCAGCAATAAACACCACTGCAAGACCACCACCTATTTCCACCTTTGGAATCCAAGCAGCCCACCCTGAAGCAGAACCAGAGGGGTAAGAGCAACAACAAACAGGTGACAAAACATACGTCCTCATCACTAATGGTGACATTGTAACAGGCAACGACCAGGTAGAGGGGCAGGGAAGGGTGGAAAACCCAAAGGAAAAAAGCAAAGGTGTCACACACAACAGGTTTATTCAATAGGGAGACAGGAAACAGGAATCATTAAAGCCAAGCAATAAGCTAAAACGGGGCCAGGCCTCGCAGAGAACAGACATTTGAAGTGGCAATTTATTTCACTAATAAGGCTGCAGGTGCAGAAGGGGGTGGGTGGGCACTGCCCCATAGCCAGGAGCATGCCTGGAGGGCCCTTTCCCCACACCTGTGACTTGCAGTCCTACAGAAAGGATGGTGGTTCTATCAAAAGCTCTCTTTGCATTCATGCAGCGGCTCTGACAAAGGCGATGGGAGGGATTTTACCCCAATGCTCTGCTCACCCCTGCTCCTTGGGGTAGGGAAGGCAGCTCCTTCACTCACCCAAAGGAGAATATATTCTTCATATTCAATACTGGCATCGATCCCCACTCCTCTTTCGGTGCATTCTACACTCAACCTATCACCCTCACATTAAAAAATAGCACAAAACTCTCTGTGTCTCCTTTCTCCTCTGCAACGTCTGAGCTGAAACAGTAGAAGTGCTCACAGAGAGCCATGGTTAGTGTTACCCTGGAAGGATCCAGGCCGGCATACCAGAACCTGGTTTTGGCATCTGGGAACCACTTTTCAGCCATATGTATCACCGTTCTTGTGTGCACTCTGGTCCACACAAAATTAGCCCTGTGGAATGCGAAATTTGCTTTCCAGAAGCACTTAAAACGCAGGAGCTAAAATTTGCTCTTTCTAGATTTCCTACCTGTTTAAGAGTGTAGGAACACAATTCTGACCCTTTGTCCCTTGGGTTCCTTCCCTGGAAGATGTGTAAAGCCCATGTCTAGCACCGTGTGTTGAAACAAAGACCCCGAGGTGAGCTGCCACCTGCCCTGCACGCTTTGCTTTGGGCTCTCTTTTTCAATCCGTGCTGGAACACGTGTGCAAACCAGGGGTGTTTTTTTTCCTTCGTGCCTACAGTGCTGGCTGCAAATCAAGCACCAGCCCAGGGCGTGCAGCTGGGAGAGACAAAACCCAAAGCACCTGAGGAATGTTTTCTTGCTCCTGAGAGCTCCAGCGCTTACTGCCCAGGGCTGGCACGCGCTGCAGCCAGCAGCCAGCTGGGTTTCCCTTCCCCTGGGCTCCAGCTGTGTTTTGGGCAAAGAAGTGAGGGGGGTTCATATGACAACGGTTTGATCAGATTTTGAAGCTGTTGCATGACCGCCACAGTCGCACATCCATGCGAATGGTCCCAAGGGGTTGCCATGCACGCAGTTGTGGACATGTGTTCACTTTGCTCCAGGTCCCACTCAGGAGAAGTTGGGTAGTTCTGTGCTGGGTCGAGGTGAGAGATTTTCACGGTGTAAAGGGATCATAGAGGTTTTCACTGTTTTTTTGCAGTTTTGCAGGGGTTGGTGCTAAGCTTGTGCAGGCAGGAGGGCAGCTGAAGATGTGCACAGAGCAGCTCCCTGTGAAGGGATGCTCGCCTGCAGGCCTGACCAGTTACAGAACCACAGAATCGTTCAGGTTTTAAAAGACCTCTCAGATCCCCAACCCACCCCACCATGCCCACAGATAAGTCCCACAGTGCCTCATCTCTATGGTTCTGGAATTGTAGCCCCACCACTGCCTGGACAGCCTGTTCCACTGCATTACCACTCTCTCAGAACAGCAGTTTTTCATAATATCCAACCTGAGATGTCCTGTAGAACAGGACCCCATCACACTGTGCCTGGAGGAAGACTACCAGCAAACCCTCCTATGCCCACACCTTGATACTACTGGGCCATCCTCATTGCACACAACACCCAAGTGACTCCTCCTCCCTTTCCAGCCTGTCTGGAGGCTTTCACAATGCCTTTTTCTCTATGCGTTCCCATCAGAGGCACGGGCAAACCCATGCTATAGAGCTCACACACAGCCGGTGGCTCCCAGCAGCCCACAGCCCCCTTCCAACCCCCACCAGCACAAAGGCGTTTGCTCAAGCTCAGCATTCCTGCTCCCTGCTCATGAGAACAGCTGGACTGAAAGGATGCTGAGAATCCCTGCAAGGCTCCAAGGAAAAGATATTAACCTAGGAGGGGATCAGCGGTGATATAATAAAAAGGCATAATAAAAGAGAGAAGCCACTGAGTGGATTAGCAGCCCAAATTTTGCTTGGCTTTTGGTCTCCTTCCCTCCAGTTCTCCCACACCATCCAGTGATCTGCTCCTATTCCTCTCTGCAGAGGGAAAGCTCAGTTCTTGAATTTCCATGGGGTTGAGTTTCACCCTTCCTGAGCACCCAGGCACACGCGTGTATAGGCGGCATTTCACACCGGATAGGATGCTGGCTCAGATTTGATGCTGCTCCCATGCTTGTTGCTCCCCAGCGCCTCTCCTCCAAGGATAAAAGCCAGATTCAGAGCTCCATGGGTGTGTGCAATAAACGCATGTGCATTACAGCCAGCATTAAGCAAACCACAGTCGTCGAAGGACACAAACAGCTGGGGCATTGCAGGGCATGGAGCATTTGCTGCCCCAAGAATTTTGCTATCCAGGAGGGAATGGAGTGCATGGGCGGCTCAGCTGTGCCACAGCCTGCAGCTGTTCCCTGCCTGCAGCTCTCCGGACATTTAAAGTTTAAAGCCTTCTCTCCACGTCTGTTTTCTCCTCCATCTCCAGCAGCTCACACAGACCCAGGAACCGCCGGCCTGTCGGGCACCCATGGGCTCACTGGTGGCCAAACTCCTCCTGCCCACCCTCAGCACTTTGGTCTTTCTCCCCACCATCAGCATCGCGGCCAAGCGGCGCTTCCACATGGAAGCCATGGTCTACTTCTTCACCATGTTCTTCGTGGCGGTAAGAGTGCATGTGTTTTTCCTCCCTCCCAGTGTCAGGAACAGGGGGGTGTCCATGGGGGTGAGAGGGGATGTCACCAAGTGACCACCAGAATACCCAGTTTTATCTATCTCCCACCGTGTGCAGTGCTGAGCAGTGCATTCTTGAACGTCCCCATCCTTGGAGACACCCAAGGTCAGGCTGGTTGGGGACATGAGCACCAGACTGAGCTGTAAGCCTCTCAGTTCAGTGCAGGGAGTTGGACCAGATGGCATTTGAAGGTCACTTCCGATTCAAACGATTCTATAATTCTATGGCCCTGTGATTCTTTGGGTGGATGTGCCGAGGGCTGTCCTTAAGGGGACGTAGTGGTGTTTCATGGTGAATTTAGGAAGGGTCTGGATGTGAAACAGTGATTCAACACAGTGTTCTGGAGCCAATCCTCTCTTTGTTTTACAGCTGGGAAATAGCCACGCTGGACTGAGGGTTTAAATGCCATTCAGAGTATCTCACTATGCTTCTGTCCTTGTAGCCAGAAGCACACAGTCAAATTCTTGATTTTGCAATTGCTAAGTGGTGGTGTGAGCCATGCTGGAGTCAGGGACTTTTGCAGGGGGGAAGGAAAGGCTAAAACATGCTGCCGAGCTATCGGGGAAAATAAGTTTTACCCCTCCACTGTGGCAGTGATGTGAAAGTCAGCACCTCCTGCCCCCCTTTTGTTCATTTCTCACCACCCATCCTAAGGCATTTCATGGAGCAATTTGTGCCCCCCACATGGACACAGAGACAGTGGATAGCGAGGCATCTTCCTGGTGCAAACAGCTCTTCTGCAGCAGAACTGAGGGTAAAGCCCTCTACGCTTTTATTCCTGAGGATCCACCATCTAAAGCCCCATTTAAAGCACAGTGCAGGGGGAAAACTTCTGCCAGTTCCATAAAGACTCCAGGAGCAGTCAATAAACCCATCCCTGCCGAGCACAGCCCCCCTCTCCCCCCCAAGCTCCCTTCCAGCTCCCCGGGGAAGCCAGACATCTACGATTTCATTTTGCACTGCTTCTGTGTCTGCTCCACCTTCCCCAGAAGCCCATTGGAAAGTTGGCTTGTGCCTGGAGGGGAGGCGGGACGGATCCTCACCGCGGAGCCGAAATCCTCGCGTGGGGAAGGGGCTGCAGCTGCCACCCGGATGGGGCAGGGAGTGACAGCTGCTGCCATCCCCATTCTTGTCACATCCCCTCCTGGGTTGCATGTCGCCGTGCCCAACAAGTGGCATGATGCCGGTCAGAAAGGCACTCCTTCTCCTTCAGCCCTTCTCCTCCCTGATCTCCAAACACAGCCTGAAGCAGGGAGAGGAATGATGGCCATAGTGCTATCATTGCTAGAAACCACGGTGAGCCAAAGGGCTCCGAGTGATACCCATGATACAGAATAGCAGCATCCTGCTCTGCATGGCAGTGGGGCTGCCCCATAGGCACGGGGCCAAGCAGTGGTGGGACCTTTCCAGTGCTATGGTGCTTGTGGTGGGAAGTGAGTAGGGCTGGGAGCAGGTAGGGAAAGGTGAGCACCAGGCAGGAGCATTGCTGTGACTGCTCCGCAAAATTTCTCTTGGCTTGATCTGCATCTGTGCTGCATGACAGTGATTCTTTGCAAATATCCCAATCGATGAGCAACATCCAGTGGACAGGAACCAGCAGGCACTAATGAGTGATGTCCCCAGTGTCCAGACTCTGTCCATAGAAACACTAATTAGCCCATACAGTGACCTGGCATCTAGATGTGTTTCATTGGGAAACTCGTTAGGAATTCTTTTACAAGAATCTTTCACAATTAAAGTCAAAACTGTCTGAGCCCTTCCTTCTGCTGGAAGAAAGCAGCTGTGGGTCCCTGCTCACAGCAGCAGTGTGGTCATCACAATGCAAACTCTGGCGCTGCCTGGAAGGCAAAGCAGAACCAGTCTGCAGATAATTTTTAATAGGACAGAAGGGTGCTGGCACTGGGGTGGTTTGCCATTGGGTACGGTGATATTGTCTCTCCAATAGATTCATTGCTGCACATCAGCAGCCCTGGTGGATCTGGGACTGTTCTGCTCCTATGGTTTAGCAGCCACACAAAGTCTGTTTTAAACCAACTGATAAGAGGAGGTATATTTTACCTGTCTGTGGGTAAGAATCTAGATTTCTAATGTTTTCTTTTTTTCTTTTTTGAATAGATTTACCATGCGTGTGATGGCCCTGGCTTATCGGTGCTATGTTTCATGCGTTATGACATCCTGGAGTACTTCAGCATCTATGGGACAGCTCTGTCCATCTGGGTGTCCCTGATGGGTAAGCACGGCTCAGGGTCCCTGCAGGTGGGTGCTGGTTGCAGGGCTGTGCTTTGGAGCTCCAACTACATCACTCACCTCTTACAGAAGTCAGTCCAGGCCATGGTTTGGTCTTTCTTTATGTCATGGAATCATAGAGTGGCTTGGGTTGGAAGAGGCCTTAAGGATCATCAAGCTCCAAACCCCTTGCCATGGGCACGGCTGCCTGTGTACCACACATGCCTTGGAAAGTCACTGCACCTAGTGGATGGATGCACACCAAAACCATCCCGCATGGTAGCTGGGATGGCTTTGCTCTTTGAGATAAACAGAGCCCTGGAGCCAGCTGTTGTAATAAACTAGGCACTCTTCTTCCATCATTATCTTTTCACATAAGCAAAATTGTTTATTTCAGATAGGCTCATGCAATCTTGTGCTTTGGTTCAAGGAACCAGCAGCACTGGGAGTGCTACAGGATGACTTGGTCTGAGACCTCACACACCAGAGAATCTCACTTTTCTCTTCCCTTTCCCCACGCTGTGCCCATTGGTTTGTGTGCTGAAGTTCTTCTAGCCATGGAACAGCCCACGTCCCAAAGTTGAGGCGTTCAAAGTGCAGAGCTTGCCACTTCCCTAGGCAGCAAGCAAACCAAAGTGGTTTAGTCAAAACAAATCTATCTCCCTAGTTATCAAGCCTGGTCTGGGCTGTTGGAAATTATTAGATCTGATTAGAAAAGGCAGAAAGGTACTCTTCTTGCTTTTCATTAAAAATCCCGACTCTGGCATATTCAGGTTTCTTATTCGCACATTCCCTCCATTCTCTATTTTTCCCTTCTTGTTCCTCATTCACCACTGAAACGAGGCAAAATAGGAATGAACACAATGAAAGAACCAGAGAAGGGGGAAGGCTGCAGAAGGGCAGCGAGGCACGTGGTCTGCAAGGGACATTTCTCAGTAGATGACGGCAGGGTCAGGGAAGGTCGGTGCTGATCCAGGCACTTTGGTTCCTCGCAGCAAAATTTCAACTCGATTGCTTCATTAACCGCGTTCAAAAAAAAAAAAATCTGACAGCAAATAAATAAATAATAAAAATAAATAACCCCAGACTAAGATGTCTAAAATATTGACCCACGGGGAAACAACAGAGATTAAAATGCGGACATGATCCCTTAGCCAAACTCCCTATAAAAACCTGATCCAAGGACATGGAGGTGCACTGACTGCAGCCCAGGGAAGCCTCTGGCTGTGCCTTGTAAAGCCCAGGCGCACATGTGCGGACGCAGACCCTCGGGCACGCTTCCCGGAATGCAAATCCAGGACAGCCATAACACAGCTGTGCGAGCTGGAAAAGCATGGAGCCCACTGGGATCCATAACTTTTATCAGTTATTACCCCATTCTGTGCTAAACAAAAGCCTTCAATAATTCACTTGCACTGGCGACTTCCAGCTTGCAAACCCAGGCAGGTGCCGGTGTCGCCCATCAGCCTGGAGTCCCATCCCCACCACAGCCAGGAAATTTGGGAGGGCTTTGGGAAGAGCAGGAACCAAGCACAGCTCCACCAGCTGCAAGATCCCTGCTTTCATCCCTGATTTTTTGGTTGAAGCAGCAGCAGATTCTGCCAGGGTCAGCCCTACAGGTGTGCTGAGGTCCCTGCATTTGTAGAGCCAAGGGGAAGGGGTGAATGCACATCCCAGCACTGATGGCTGTAGAATCCTAATCCTAACCCTAACCTAAAGCACAGCCCCAGTCATTAAGGTTGGAAAAGACCTCTGAGATCATCTAGTCTGACCAATCCCAGACCCAATCCTGGGGTCCCTGGGATGAGGCTTGGGCACCCCGAGCTGCTCTCCCCACCACAAGAGCAGGAAACACAGCTGAGCCAAATCCATGCTCTTTGCCCACAGCCCTGGCCGAGTTTGATGAACCAAAGAGATCGACCTTCACCATGTTCGGCGTGCTCACCATCGCTGTGAGGACCTACCATGACCGCTGGGGATACGGCATCTACTCGGGACCCATTGGGACAGCTGTGCTGGTGATCACCGTGAAATGGGTGCGTCCAAAGGGCACGCCTGGGGCTCTCCAATTACCTGCAAGAGGTTTTCAAGGTCCAGCCCCAAGTTGAACTTGTCTCTCAGACAGAGGCTGGGTTTGCAAGGGCACACACATCCTTAGCTCAGGTTTTGGGGCTGAATGTTGAGAATCCAGCATTGTGCAAAAAAAAAACCCAAAACAACAGAGGTAGAAGGAGCACAAGGCTTGCCCAGTGCAGGCAGAGCCCACAGCCTCAGAGCGTGACTGCAGCTTTGCATGGCTTTGTGTTAGGGTGTTTCATGGTTTGGTGTTAGGGGAGATTTAGACTGGATATAAGGAAAAAAAAATTACAATAGTGGTGATGCAATGGCACAGGTTGCCCAGAAAGGTGGTGGGGTTCTGTCCCTTGAGAAATCCGAAGTTGGGAGATGGGGCTCTGAGCACCTGGTGGAGTTGCAGGTGTCCCTGTTCACAGCAGGGCATTGGATCAGCTGGCCTTTAGGGATCCCTTCCGACTCAAGTGATTCTGTGGTTCTTTGTGTTAACATTAACGAGATCTGGGCATGGAGCCCCTGTGGGCAGGGGTGAGGCTGCTCAGTGTGCTCTGTGTGCTCTGTGTGCTTGCAGCTACAAAAGATGAAGGAGAAGAAAGGGCTGTATCCAGACAAGAGTGTCTATACCCAGCAGATCGGTCCTGGCTTCTGCTTCGGGGCATTAGCACTGATGCTGAGGTTCTTCTTTGAGGTACCATTTGCACTCTCCCCCACATTGATCTCCAGGGGTCATCACCCTGGCTAACATCTGTGCCACAAATAGATCCAAACCGTCCTCATGCCAAGGTGAAGGCCCCACTGGCTCCTGGGTGCACACAGCCTTGCTTTCAACCTCTGCTCCCACCACTGCCCAGTGCCCCTGTTCTGCATGAGAGCTCACACGTCCCACCCACACCGTTACGGCTGCTCCGTGCATTGGGAGCTGTGAGATCCGACCTCGCCGCCATCCCCGAGGGTTATTTTTCAAAGCATGCAGTAATTGCACATTCTAGCAGAACATAAAAATGTCACTTTGCAGCGCGTCCCCCCCCCCCCTGCACCCCATCCTCCCTCCTAGCCTTCCCAGCCTCGTCCTTTGCAGGGTAATGAAACACTTCATTCACCAATTGGGAAATGTGCAAATTGGAATGTGTTAAATCCACTTTGCCTTTTTTTTTTTTTTTTTTTTTTTAAGGCTGAAAATCGTTTCTTCTCTGACAGCAGGACTCAGGATATCTCTTTTATCCCTTTCCTTTGGGCTACTTGCAGAACCCCCACGCTCTGCACCCACTGGCCCAGTAATGCTTTCCCATTTGCAGGAGTGGGACTACACCTACGTGCACAGCTTCTACCACTGCGCCCTGGCCATGGCCTTCGTGCTGCTGCTGCCCAAGGAGAACAAGAAGGCCGGGGGGGCTGGCAGCCCTGCCAGGCTCGACTGCTCCACGCTGTGCTGCTGCGTCTGAGCCCCCCGCATGGTGCTTTGCTCCAGAGGATCTTTGCCCACCAGCTCCATACACACCCAGGGCTTTTCTTCTGTGGAATGGTTTGCTCTTTCCACCATCAGCCCTAGCTGATGTGCTTTCACTTTGCTCAGTTCCCCTGGAGAAGCCTTTGCATGGGGTGTGCCCCTGTGCCAGAGAGCTCTGCATCACCCTGTGCGCTCTTGGCCACGTCACCTCCCCCTGTCCCCTCTGCTGGCCTGGGAGGACCAGAGCTTCAGGACCAGTTTGAGCACATAGTTCTCTGTTCGTAACACCCAGAACCTTTTTGTGAGATGTTTGTATTTTTGTGAGATATTTACTATTTTATTTATGCATTCTCTTGATGTAAATAATACTTATTTGCAAAGACTTGGCAAATGTGCAATACCAGCATTTCTCAAGTGGTGCAAATCCCCTCCCTGCTCAATCCTGTCTTGCTCCAGCCCCAGACGCTTTGGGCACAGCCACCCCATCCACTGCCTCACCATTAGCTGCAGCTTTGGGTGCTTTGGCCAGGCCAGCAGGTGTGCTCATAGCAAGCATCCTTAGTATGGGAAGCCTAAGGAAAATGAGAAGGCACAGCAAAGCTCTCGGAGAGGGGGGAGGGCTGTAAGCCTCTAACATCTCCTCTAACAGACTATTTACTATAGCAGAAGTGTATGATTTATTTAGACTGTCTGGGAAATACGCCAAGACTATATGTCATGGACAATTAGAGCAGTATTGATATACAGTGATGTCCACAGAAAGCCCACATTAAGCCTGGGTTCCTCTGGAAGAGAAATCCAGCCTGGTCATTCATCAGAGCCACTTCCTGCAATGGGGCAACGACCAAAGCTGAGCAGCTTTCCAACAAAAACACAAATGAATCACGGAGCCCCGCGTGTCCAGGAGTCACTGGCAAGCTGGTGGCACAACCAACCAGCTGCACACAGAGAAAAGTGTGCCCAAAGGGCTCTGCAGGCACCTCGACCAACAGGACTCGCTGGAGTGCACGCAGCCTCCAGCCCCATCTGCAAGGTGCATGCAATGCTCTGCCTGTCGCTTGTTGAGCCATCCTGAGCACATCTGTGTATCCTGAATGCTGCAGGCTGGGGTTCATTGCTTCGCATTCAAACGCTCATCCAGCCTCCCCATCTCTGTGCACATCTTCACCACTGGTGCAGCCATTGACCAGAGGGACTTGAACCCCAAAACACATATTGTGGCTGTTTGGCTATTGCAGGGCAGCAGTGCTGTGAAAGTTCCCCATGGAAGCCCCAGCTGAGCTCACAAGCATGGGGAGAGAGTCGTGCCTGCAAAATGCTTAGGGGAGAGCTGCTGATAAATGCAGTGGGTTATGGTGCCTAAATGCATGTTATAAGAAGGCTGACAGATCCCTTGCAAGCCAGGAGGGCGTATGAGCTAAGGTCCAGCTGAGTAAATGAAAGCTCCTGCTCCCACCTGCTGTGTACTCAGGTGTTACACCAAAAAAAAAAAAACCAAACCAAAACAAAACCAACCATCCAGAAAGGGTATTACACACTGCAAAACAGCAGTGAGGTTTCTCTCTATTCCTTTCTCCCTTTTGTTGCCCTCAGGCTCTGCTCCCACCATCCACCCCCAAACCAGCACCCATCCTGAGAGCTGCACCACAGCCAGGAGCATCCGTGGTGTCCACGGTGGGACCAGCATCCACGGGGCGATGCAGGGCTCCCCACACCTGCCTGCAGAGACTGAGCTCGCTATCGCCCGGCCAGGATATCCCATGCACTACAAATGCAAGGAAATATTATAAACATTTACAGCAACGTAGACAAAACAGTCTCTTGTAACCTTTTAGCGCTGCTGAGAGCTTTGCCTGTAAGAGCTCTTGAGCCCCTGCCAAAAATTCTTGCTGTTTTCATAAGACGAGGTGTTTTCGTCTAAGGTGCAGTCTGAGTGCTGTGACCTTTGTCATGTCTGCTACTGAAATTTCCTGCTTCTCTGTTATTCTCTTCTTTGGTAAGACGATATGAAACCCAAAACTTTTATTGCCCCTTTTAAAGCGTCTTTATAGCTCCCCGTCTACTTCATATACTGTGTTATTCTCCAATGCTGGGATATTACTTATGGGATCTAGGCTTGATGCTGCAAAAGGCATTTGGGTTTTGCGGAGCCGAAACCGCCCGGGCTTTTTTACCATCGACCCAAGGGGGAAAAAAGAAAGAAAGAAAAAAAGGAAAAAATGAATGAGAGGGGAGGGACTGTGTTTTCTGCTCCAGCCCTGTATCTGCTGTCAGCACAAGGCAGAGCAGCATCCCACTGCACACCAATGGGCACCCGCATACAGGATGACCCAGTGGTGTCCCTTTGCAGCACTCATGGCCAAAGTGTCCCCATCACCGTCCCCTCCTGATGACAGCCACCCCGCAGGGCTGGGATGAGGGGATTTAGGACCTGCTGCTGCACGAGGGGCAGCTTCCAGAGATGTGGAGTGGGGCTGAGTGCCAGCTAATCTTCCAGGCAAACCTTATCCAGATCCCTTTGGCTGCAGAAAGCAAAAATCTGGCCAGACCTAAACATAAAAGCTCGATTTCTGCTGCCAGCTGCATGGGGCACTCCAGAAAGCACCTTATCTCCATGGGATTCTGAACGGCAGCTTTCGGCTTTTTCCACTCACTGCTCCCCCTCTCCATGCTGACTCTGTATGCATGTCCAAGCAAGAGGCTCCACTGGCTTAGTGGCGAGCTTGGCTTCATCTTCTGACTAATGCTGTGCCCTGTGGGCCACAGCAAGGCTACCTCATTTTGGAAAGCACTGCAGCTCCTGCCTGAGCTTGGCCAGCTCCAAGGGAGCTGTGCTGGACAGACCCAGGAGATGCATTCTCTAGGACTTACTCTCAGGGGTTGTCCATAGAAACTCAATTTTCGTGGAAGTTCAGCAGTGGTGATTTGTGTTCAGGGAGCCCAGGGGAGATCTTGCGCTGGGCTCTTCCATCACCCTTCATTCTGTTTTCTTGGAGATGCCTGTGCCCTTAGCAGGGCATGGCTGAGGGGGAGAACCTGTAGTGGCAAAGGCAGCCACCACCCATGTCCTACCCAGCACCAGATCTCCCTGGGACGTGATAAGGAGCACCAGACTGAGAGCAGCCCCATCCACCAACCTGGAGCAAAGGAGAGCAGGGTGGGATCACCCTGGTTGGGTTTACTATGCAAAGACAACCTTCCATGCAGCAGCACTAGACATAGTCAAAGCAGATGCATAGTATGTCTAGCAAATAGGTAGCACTACCAGGACATCCATCCCACTTCAGTGCTGGGCGTCCTGCAGGTTTGCAGCCTTCAGCCCCAAATATGAGCACAGAGTCCTTGGAGGGGCAGCTGCAGGCTAGCAGGGCTCTCCTGGCTCCTGCCACGATGCTACAAAACTCTCATCCCAAATCCAGGTTGGGCATCTTTGGCCACCCCACTCCTGCAGCAGAGAGGTCCCTGAGAGCGGCGGTCCAAGGTTTTGGTTTAGGCCAATCTCCCAGAAATTCTGTCATCATGCAGAGCATCACGCACACTGCCGGATCCACATTACAGAAAGGATGGCCCTGAGCCAGCACCTCTTAAAGGCAGTGGAAAAACCCTCCCTTGCTACAATGGGAGTTGGCTCAGCCCTTATATGATCTGACAGATACCACAGAGCAAGAGGAGTTGTTTTAATCTGGGAATATCTCATGGCCCCAAAGCTTCTCCTGCAGACTGACAGGGCAGCGTGTCTGTAGAGCGTGTGCTGCTGGAAGGAGGGCCTTCCAATAAGTGTTGAACTGATGGTCTTTATCTGATCCATGTGCTCTGAAGGCAAGGGAGCCGCTCGGGTTTCCAGCTGTACACATCATCTGATGCTCATAAAAGGAGCTGATGTGTCTGGGAGCCCTAGACCCAAAGAAGCATTCTTGAAATGGGGGAAAGTCAGTGTTACTCAAAAAGCACTGCACAGACAGGCAGGGCAGCTGTGTCTCCACTACCTGTGTTTTTCCAGCAATGGTAAAACTCATGAAGGGTCTTTTTGCCCATAAAAGGGAATCGTGGAATCATAAAATCATAGAATCACAAAGGTTGGAAAAGCCCTCTCAGAACCCAAGTCCAACCCATCCCACCGTGCCCACTGCCCACGTTCCTCAGTGCCACATCTCTGCCATCCTGGAAAACCTTTTCTTGGAGATCGGGGGAAGCTTTACACACACCTCTCCCCTCTCTAAACGCCTTTCTTTGCATTTTTGCTCTTTCAGTAGCCCAGCTCATTGGAACAGAGCAGGAGCTCAGGTCCGCGCTGTGACCAAGGTATCAGGTAGCACCTCCACATCTGGAAGGGATTTTGACATGAGTTCTCCCAGACTCGTTACAGACACTTTAAAAGCAAAATCTGATAAATAGCAAATGTTTAACAAGTCAATAGGAAGCTGTGTTTGCTAGAACATGTGGCCCTCACTGTCCTAGCACTGCTGCATCGCCAGTGCTTTCTGAGCATGCAACCATGCAAGGCTCCAGCCGGACCTGCTCTGCATTACAGCGGGAAGAATTAAAGGCAGATGTATCTTTACACATCCAGATGTGTCCAATAGCCCTCATGCTGCCTTCCTGCCCTGGTGGTGAGGGGGTTTCTTCTGCTGTTACCAGTAAAGTATCTCAACACAACAACTCTTGTAGTGTTGCAACCCTTGCCTGCTTTCGGGCAATAAACAAATGAACTGCCAAAAATGTGGCAACAAGCATTAAAATAGACAGAATTATGCAAGGAGCAGAAGGGGAGACAGAGGAATAAGGAATGACCAGAAAAGCCACCAGAAACCCTCCGGGATGCCTGCCTATATTTAAAGATAATGTGTCCAGCCCTCTTGCCAAGTCCCACTCATTTGGAGCTGGGCTCATGTTTTGGATTAATTTTAAGTCAGTTCCTAAAGCATCTCGCTCTCACGAGGAAGAATGTTTGCCTCCTTGGCCAAGGTGACCAGTTATTACAAAATCTCACTCACT